AAAAAAGATCCCTCACAATTCCACAACAGCCTCACTTTGTAAGTGCAGAAATAGGCCTAGAGAGGGAAAGCAACTTGCCCAAGGTTGCACAGCAAGTGAGATGGTGGGACTAGAAGCCAAGTCTCTGGCCACCCCCTGTGTGTTCTCCTTGAAAACTGGTGGTTCTGCACCAGCAGCCTTCAACACGTCGGCTTCCACTACTTTCTGCCCACAGCTCACCATCAGCGCCCTCCCTTCCCACCCCCCACACACCCTTTTCTCAACAGGGACCTGGGCCTGTCTCACCTACATACTGGGACCATTAAAATCAAGAATGCTGTCGCTGTCTCTAAGCCTTACGCCAGCACAGCCCTGAGACACAGCAGGCCAACTGCAGCATCCCCCTCAACAATCCCCTCCCTCAGCCCATCGGAGGGGCACCTATGCCAGTGAGGCATAGACCTCCATCTTCCCATTTCTCTCTGTCAAGGGGTTTGGCTGCGAATTACCCATCTCCCCACCCCAGAGAAAGTCTGGGTGCATTAGGGGAGAGGGAAGAACTTAAAGTATGTGTTGAAAATGGTCCTTCTTTATAACATGAGGATTCAGGGGAGCATTCAGGAAGGACTTCCAGGACGGAGAGATGATTCTGGAGAACTGGTAGAGGAAAAAGAGGAGTGTGCAGGATGAGGGAGCCCTCCCTCCCCAGCGCACCTAAAGCCAGAGCAGGAGCGACAGGACAGGGACATCCTTGGGGCTGGGCGCTGGGGGAGCAGCAGTTTGCTTCTTCCTGGGCCCACCGCCTGTCTCCCCCAAGCAAGGCGAGTTCCACAGCTGCCGTCCTTGCCCAGAGAGATATGCCGGGTCTCCACCATCCCCCTGGCTGCTCCCACCCAAGCCCCCCAATCTAACTCAGCCCCAGCCTGTGTCAGCTTAGGGGTGGGGGCAGGGAAGAGAAAAAGAAGGCACAGCTGGGACAGGAGCCTCACCAGGCTCCCCATTTTCATCAGAATTCAACCTTGCCAGGGGTGACCCAGGGTCCCTATAACTCTCCCACTGTCCCCTTGGGGGTCAGAGCCCATTGCCTCATAGAGCCCCCTCTCCTGGGATCCTTCCAGTCCTTCCAGGAGAGATTGGAGAGGTCGGGGCACCCTCACTCACACACTCTATGTGTTTGGGAAAGTGAGGTCGCTGTCCACCTGCCCACAGCCCACAGAGCCCCTGGCCACCCGCGGACACCGCCAGCCTGTCCCTACCTGCCCATGCCCACATCTGCCTGACTGTCCCCTCCCCGCCCCCTGGCCCACCCGGCCAACTCCGGGCAGTCCTACCTGCGCCAGGCTGGGGGCTCAGCGCCCGGGCAGCCTCCCTGAGCACCAGCACCAGG